AATAACCCTGCCGCAATTCAATTCAGTATCCCCAGCCTGTGTACATAATCCACTTCTATGCCTGTTAGTTCAATGACATGAGACGCCCGAGATAACAGATTTACCATCAACTTCCAGTAAAAGGAAATATTGATTTGTCCCTGGTGAAGGCATTATATCTTACGACCTACCTTCTAAACCAGCAGAGTACAAACTTGCAAGCCCAGAGAAAGAATGTTAGTGATTAAACATCTTAACGGATGCAGATAAGGTGATAATTGAATACAATACAACAAATATTTGGTCAAAAAAGAAAATATAATAAACGAAATTCTTATAAACACAAATAGAAGAAAATTTCTTTAAGCAAACAAAAAAGAGCTGTGAGATATTATGCTACCAATATGCACAATTCCAATTTACTTGCCACATGTTAATAGTTGTGATATGATTTATAACAAATATATATTTAGTTTTTGACCCCACATCTGGCATAGAGCTCCTAATGTTAAGCCAATTCCTAAATGATTGGAATTTCCTAAGTGATGAGTGTGATAAAGGTATCTTTAGTTATGTAAATGAGGTGTCTTTTGTAAATACCAAGAATGGGGGCTGGTTGCCCAAGGAGTCAGCCCTGTCTTTAGAGAGTTGGAACTAGCAGTCCTACCATCCTGCCCCCCAGGGAGGGGAGAGGGGCTGCAGGTTGAATCAATTGCCAATAGCCAATGATTTAATCAACCCTGCCTATGTAATGAAGCCTCCATAATAATCCAAATGGACAGGGTTTTGAGAGCTTCTGGGATGGAGAGCACATGGAGGTGCCAGGAGGGTGGTGAACTCAGAGAGGGCGTGGGAGCTCCACACCCCTTACCACATATCTCGCCCTGTGCGTCTCTCATCTGGCTATTCCTGTAATAGCTTTTTGTAATAAACTAGTAACCTAGTAAACAAAATGGGTTTTGTTCTGTTTTTTTTTTTTAATTCTGTGAACTGCTCTAGTAAATTAATTGAATCAGAGAAGGTCATAGGAACCTCTGATTTATAGCTATTTGGTTAGAAGCACAGCAGACACACTGAACCAGCAATTGGCTTGTGAAGGGAATGGAGGCAGTCTTGTAGGACTGAGCCCTTAATCTGTGGGATTTTATGCTATCTCCAGGTAGGTAGTGTCAGAATTGAGTTGAATAGTAGGACACCTTCCTGGTGTCAGATAATTGCTTGGTGGTGTGGAAAAAACATACACATCATAATAGAAAAGATTATCATACGAGTTGAATAGCAAATTTCAGTTAGGATTACAATAAGACTTATGCTCAGTGGACGTAAGGTAAAAGGCATATATGATAACTGAAAATATCAGCTTTACAATTTGCTTTTGCACAGTTAAAATAAAGCTAGTTTTCTCGTCTCCCTTTGTTTCCTTTCTATATACCATCCACTCCTGACTGATGAGGGAGCATAATACAAGCTGAGGGCAAAGTATAAGCTACCACCACCACTGCCACCCCCACCCCACCCCCACCCCACCCCCAGCCAAGTAGAATATAAGTGATATTCCTCGGACACTCCTGGCTACCTGAGAACAAAGGAAAGGGGGTTAAGTGCTTGCCGTGTGACGTGGGAAACTAAGGCAAATGAAAAATTAAATTCCTTTACTGCCTACAGCCTATTCACAAGTCCTTGAAACAGGCAGAGTGACCTCGCTCTGGGAGCCCAGCTGCCTTGACGATGACACTTTGCTAGGGGCAAAAGGGAATATTGGCTTAACATTATCCTGACCCCCCAGGAACCTATAAGTCTACTTTAAAATATAAAAATTCCTTTGGAAACTTCCTTTATCTCAACTCCCCCAAGGTATATTCTGGCAACCATACTCCAAGCTTATGGCCTCCTGATATACATCTGAAGGGTCTCATGACTGAGGTTTTACTAAAAGGTAATAAAAAGCATTTTCCTGACAACACCTAGCCCCTCAAGGTCTTGGAAACCTTGCTTCCAAAATAACTTAGAGACTTACTCTATCCCTAACCCCCTCCCAACCTGACGGTATATAATCAATTACCCATCACAACCCCAGTGCAGCTCTTTCTGCCCAAGGGTCCTGTCCTGGTGCTTTCATAAAATCACCTTTTTGCACCAAAGATGTCTTCAAGAATTCTTTCTTGGCCGTCAGCTCCAAACCCTAGCATCACGCCAAAACCCCATCACTGACAACTGACCTTGTCAGAGTACTCAAACTGTGCCACCTTTGAAAAGTATTATCATAAACCATACTTTGATTTGCTTCTTTTAATGTATTGCTATATTATGTGAAATTAGTAGGGATTATATACAAAATATCCTATATATCTAAGAAGCAGCACAATATGTAATATCAACACTTGTGTGATTCTGAGGAAAGAAAGAATTCATTGGTGAAATTTTAATCGTATCCTTCGAGACTGAAGGAGAAATGAAGACATTCTCCAATAAACAAAAGCTAAGAGAATTTGTTACAAGTAGACATGACCTCCAAGAAATGCTGAGGGCTGAAGTATAAGGACATCGGACAGTAACCTGAAGCTAAATGAAGACATAGAGCACAATGGTAAAGGTCACTATTGGGCAACTATAGGTAATAAAAATAAACGTAAAAGCCATTTTTATTATATTTATGCTTTTAAATTCTTTTTCTTGGGGCACCTGGCTGGCTCAGTTGGCTGAGTGTCCAAGTCTTGATTTTTGCCTCCGGTCATGATCTCACAGTTGTGGGATCAAGCCCCACATCAGGCTCTGTGCTGAGCCTAGAGTCACCATGCTATCCATTAGATCTCCAGAATCGATTCATCTCCTAACTGGAAGTTTGTACACCTTGACCAACATCTCCTCATTTCCCTCAACCCCCCGTCCCTGGCAGCCACCATTCTTTCTGTCTCTATGAGTTTGGCTTTTTTAGATTCTACCTATGCACGAGATCATACAGTATTTGTGTTTCTCTATTTAACTTAGTTCACATAGCACAATGCCCTCAAGGTCCATGCATATTGTTGCAAATGGCAGGATTTCCTTCTTTTTTGTGGGTGAATAATGCTCCATTATATGTCACATTTTCTTTATTCATTCATCCATGAGTAGAAATTTACATAACTCCTACCTCTTGAAAGTTATAAATACTGTTGGTATGAACATGGGGGTACAGACATCTCTTCAAGATCATAACTTCATTTCCTTTGGATATATACCCAGTAGTGGAATTACTGGATCATATGGTATTTCTACGTTTAATTTTTTGAGGAAACTCCATACTCTTTTCCACAGCAGCTATACTAATTTACATTCCCAACAGTACATAAGTTTCCCTTTTCTCCACATCCTCGCCAACATTTGTTATCGCTTGTGTTTTTGATAATTATCATTCCACCAAGAATGAGATTTCATTGTGGTTTTATTTTCAGAGTTTTTCTGTGTGTGAACAAGTTGTCAGACCCACCTTGTATACATATTGTTTATTTCCATAAAAAGATATATATATTTTTTCTCCCCTGGAGTTTAAGATTCTTCTCATTTTTTTTTGTTTTCCATTTGTTTAAAGTATAGTTAACATATTATAATATTCAGCCTGTATCAGACAGTCCAATTCTTTTTCTACATTGCAAATAACATAAACTAAAGCCCCAGAAAAATACTTCTTTTCTCCATTGTATCGTACCCCAGAACATGCCACATCTAGATTCTCCTAACTGGCCCTCCTCCTTTCTCTTCTTAATCACTCCAGATTCATTTTCAAAATAGCAATCATAATGATCTTGTTTGAAACTCATTTTGTGTCACTTGCCTGCTTAAAATCTCCCAGAGGCTTCTAATTGCACACAGACTAAAATCTGCAATATATATTATAGCCTATAACTTTTAAATTAATTAATCCAACACTTTGCCTCATCATGGGCCAGCCACATTGGCCTCCTTGTTTTGCTTCAATGAGTCCAAATCTTTTGATGCCTTAATGCTATTTAACCTCTCCAGATGCCATCCTGAAGGTCGGAAAAGATTCAAAAACTATCATATGTGAAATGTGCCCTTCCTCAGGTCACTATTAATATTATATTTTATAATGTACATGACTTTTAATCTTTAACTTTCTATTTTTCTATTTTTAAAATTATTATTATTATTACTCCTGGTTTTCCACTTGACATAATAGTCTATGAATAAAGAGATACTGACTCTTGTAGAGTATTGATCTCCAACAGTTTTGGTAGTGCTTGGCATATAAATGTTCACAATAAATATTGATTAGATGAATTAATGATGAATGGGAAAATAAGTAGGGCTAGAATAGACACTGTTCCCTTAGAGTCTTTGACAATGCTTTAGGAATCTTATTATTTCTGAGACCCTTATTCACATTCAGCAACTGTTTTGTTTCCATTAAAAGTATGAGAAACTCCAACTCAACTTCAGCTCCAATATATTCCTATTTTTGACATGTTTTTTTTTTTTATGAAGGAGATTTCTATGTTGTAAGTTATACCCTGGAAACCTAAATTTCAGAAGTACAAAGTTCTAACCATGTGGAAATTACCAATACATTGGTGCTTCTCTTTAAATGATGTAAATTTAGCATTTGCCAAAAAAGATAAATGCCAACTAGCATTTAGCAGTAAGATTTCCCAGCAATAAGATTTTGCACATGTGGAATTTTAACTATTACACCTTGCAAAATCAAATTTATTCTCATGTTGTGTCAACTGATTTTGGATAATTTCATTATAAACATTAAATTTGTGTCACTAAAACATTAAAGTATCTTTCAAAAATTTTCATTATGCTCTTGACCAGTGTTTCCTAGTATTGCCTACATTGAATTCATGTAAAGACAAAATGATTTTCTAGGATTATCCAGAGACTTTCATATCTACTCAGACACAACGGAAACCCTAAAACTGAAAAGGCAAAAATAGCAACAACAGCAACACTGCATATGTTTCATGATGTTACTTCTTTCTAAAATAAAAAAGAATACAGGATCCCAGAAGACCTACCTGTCGAACTGCATTTAGGAGGGATGGACCAGCCACTCTCTGTACATGTGATGTTGCTCTGATTATTTAAAAGGCGATAATCTGTATCACAGACAATTTTTGCAGTGTCACCTTCCTGGTGTGTTTGTCCTGAAGAGGCAGAATGACCATTTTCCACCCAAGGGAAAAAGCACTGTCCTAAAGACCCAAAAGGTAACTAATATAAATCTTGCAATGAAGGAATATTATATTTTACAAGCTTCAAAAGAGAAACCACACACAAAAATTCGTTTCTTAAAAATGAGTTCATGCAAGTTAAAAATATTAATATGTAACATCATCAATCATCATGTGTATATATAAAACACTCTACACTTGTAAAATTCCTTTAGATATCAGAAAAGTTAGTTTTGGTTTCTCATTTGATTGTCTAAATTGCTTCCTGAAGGAGGAGATGACTTTTATCTCCTGTGCCTTTTTTTGCTTTTCTCTTTGATGACTGTGTCTTCTTCATGACTCTGCTTTTCTCTGTGCTCATTGAGAGAGGAAGGCAGATGTAATTTTAAAAAACAAAGATGTGAGGGGTGCCTGGGTGGCTCAGTCCAACTTCAGTTCAGGTCATGATCTTGTGGTTTGTTAATAAGCCCTGTGTGGGGCTCTGCGTGGACAGCTCAGAGCCTGGAGCCTGCCTCAGATTCTGTGTCTCCCTCTGTCTCTGTGCCTCTCCCGCTTACATTCTGTCTCTGTCTCTCTCTCAAAAATAAGTAAATGTTAAATAATTTTTTTAAAAAGATGTGATTAACAAAAAGCACAAAATTAAGGATAATAGTAAAATTCTTCTTGGATATTCAAAGAAACAGCACATTTTGAATCTGATATTACACATAAAAATAAACTCTCTTGAGAAAACCTACAGTCATACAATTACCAATGAGTGTGTTTAAATACTAGCAGTTAACAGTATTGACCACCAGTATTTAAAATGAAAAGATTTATAAATGGCTTTTATGATGTTTAAGTATGTTCCTTCTATCCTGACTTTCTCGAGGGTTTTTATTAAGAAAGGATGCTGAATTTTGTCAAATGCCTTTTCTGCATCGATTGACAAGATCATATGGTTCTTATCTTTTCTTTTATTAATGTGATGTATCACATTGATTGATTTGCAAATGTTGATCCAGCCCTGAGAAACTTAACAGAAGACCATGGGGGAGAGCAAGGAAAAAAAAAGAGGTTAGAGAGGGAGGGAGCCAAAACATAAGAGTCTTAAAAACAGAACAAACTGAGGGTTGATGGGGGGTGGGAGGGAGGGGAGGGTGGGTGATGGGTATTGAGGAGGGCACTTGTTGGGATGAGCACCGGGTGTTGTATGGAAACCAATTTGACAATAAATTTCATATTTTAAAAAAATAAAATTAAATTAAATTAAATTAAAATGAAATGAAAAGGTTTAGACAAAAGTTTGTATCTTGTTTTTTTTCTGATTTGATTTCCACAAACAGTTTCTTATAAAAGGAGGAAAGACTACCTTGTCTTTGCTGATTGGTTCCTCCAGCCCCTGATTCTGTGATTGTCTAATTGTACTGTGATTCTGTGATCTACCCCCTGGCATCCACTTCTCCACTCACTGAACACACTAAATAATTCATCCAGATAATAACCAGGGTATTTACTCACTGATACACTTTGGTGTTGGTGACCATCCTTCCTCTGTGCAGGTTATTTTAGTCCAGAGTGATTGTGAAGGAGACGCAAAGCTGTGATCACACGAGTAGTAGAAATACTTTCCCAGAGCAACTGGGAAGTTGTGTTTATATCTGTCTTCATCATATATGTTTCCATGTTTTATTTCTGGAAAACCACAAGTTCTTCCTTAAGAAAAAAAAAAATAGTACCATACATGAATGAGTAATTCTATTTTAATAATCACATTGATGACTTTATGATTCTATTTAAGTTAATTGTTCCACTTGTATTTGTGATTCAAGAGCTGGGGCAGTCTATAACTAAGAATACAAAGGTATTTGAGGTATTTGCGTTGTTTGAGTTCTTCAGAAGTATTTCCAAGATTAAGATCACACAAAAGCAAACACTGAGAAAAAGAATAAAAGTAGGTCTATCCACTAAGCTTCCCAGGTCTAAGAACTTTGCTTCTGGTGGGATGCTCAAACTCTTTGCAGTTCTCCACTCATTTCCGGTGTCTCTTCTTTCCTGTGTCTCATGCATACCTCCCCTCAGAAACCTTAGCCATTTCCACCCCTCTTCTCCTACTCTAGGCAACACATTATACATAGGATATATAAACATGTATGCATATAAAATTATAATTATAAACTGGGTGTCCTAAATAACAGAAATTTATTTTCTTGTAATTCTAGAAGCTAGAAGTCCGAGATCTGGTATCAGCAGGATTGGTTTCTTCTGTGGCATCTCTCCCTGGTTTGTAGATGGTCTCCTTTCCCCGTGTCTTCTTCACATCTTCTTCTCTTTGTGTCCTAATTTCCTAATTTGCTCCTCTTATATGAACACGAGTTTTATTGGGTGAGGGCCCACCCTAATGACCTTGATTTAACTTAACTTCCCCTTTAAAGACCCTGTCTCTGTATACTATCACTCTTAAGTCCTGGGAGTTAGGATTTCAGCATCGGAATCTTGCAGAAACACAACGCTACCCGTGCCACTAAACACACAAAGATGTATTCTATCTATGAAACAGTCTGCTTCCACCAAACGGGTTCATGTCTCCTTTGAGAAACATTGGTACAACCCAAATTTACAGGGCATTCTTCTTAAAGGTACTTTCAGAAAAGAGTTACTGAGTGAGGATAGTTTTAAACTGGACAGGACCCTTTGTTGTATTGTTCTTATTTCTGTTGCTAGGAAAGGAAGTTGCCTGAATATAGTCTTAAATAGCATCTAAAACTCAGTGTGGGGCAAATTACAAAAATAAATTCTAGTAAATTCAGGAGTAAAGCATAGTGATTTATGTCCTACTCACAAATGCTGTAATGAAGTACCCTAAAGCACATTAGAGATTTCATTTACAATAATCTGGAAATAAGAGGCTTTGCTTTTAAAAGAAATCAGAGACTTTAAAAAGATATCATAACGAAAAATTTATAAAGATGTTAAGGAAGGAGAAAAATATAGTTATACAAATAAAAATCTTAAAGATTTTATACATGCAAGAGAAAGCTATTAGAACTAATACACAAAAAGAAATTGCTCTCTAAAGACAAGCTTAAAAAGCTACCAATTATATTTGTTATGTCATAAGATATAATTTTTAATACATAAGGATTGCATTCAGAGATATAATCTAGAAAATATATTACTCCAAAGGTGAAAACAAATCAGTGCTACAGTTAATGCTCTGAAAATTTTTATTTATTTACTCAATACTTACCAGTGGACTCAGAAATGTAAATTAAAATTTATTGTCTTAATGCTAATTTTGTTGAAATATTAAATTGATTATAATTGCTTACCACAGCTTTATTAAGGTATAATTGAAATATGGTAAACTGCATATATTTGAAATGTCTGATTTAATAAGTTCTTTCGCATGAGTGAATTGGGATAGCGGTTTTCTCCAAATAAAACATCAATTACTTTATTTTACTAAACTACTAGCTTAGGACAAATACTTATTCTGTTCTGTAAAGACAGATATTTTTAGGTTTTAAGTAGTTTTTAAAAATTAAATATCCACATATTGTGAATAATAGCACAGGCTTTCCTACTTGTTAAAATCCAAAATATTTTAGAATGACTTTATCCCAACCAAAAAGTGTCATTTTGTATTGAAAGAAATTACTATTAAGTGTTGATTGTTACTGATTAATTCATATTTTAAGTGAACCTCAATAGTTGAAAAATATGACAAATACTTTACTTCCCCTAAATTTAAGCAGTTTTGACATATGAATTCATAAAACTATCATCATATACAAGATTATGAAGATATCCATTGCTCCCAAAGGTTTTCTTGCATTAAAACAAGAAACCTTGGGCCGTCTGTGTGGCTCAGTCAGTTAAGTGTCTGACTCTTGATTTTAGTTCAGATCATGATCTCACGGTTTGTGAGTTCAAGCCCTGCATAGGGCTCTGCACTGACAGTGTGGAGTTTGCTTGGGATTGTCTATCTCCCTCTCTCTCTGCCCCTCTCCTGCTTGTGGCCTCTCTTTCTCAAAATAAATAAACTAAAATAAATAAATAAATAAATAAATAAATAAATAAATAAATAAATAAATAAAATAAAATAAAATAAAATAAAATAAAATAAAAAAAGAAACCTCCATATATTTATTTTGAAGTCAGCACCTCACTTTTCTTGTGACATATTGCCTAAAGTTGTGTGAGCATACTCACATATCTCCACATTGAGAGTCCTTTTTCTGACAAACTTAGGAAAAAGAAAACAGAATTTATTTTATTTTCCCCTTAGATAAACACGAGGTAATTTTCCTATAAAGTTATATACCATTTTGGTGTCACAATACAGACTATTTTAACTAGTAAATTCATTAAAAAATACAGACACATGAAACTAGATACGATATGAAGTCACATTTAAGAAGGAAATCGAGTGTTCAGATGTCTTTTCAACTTACCTTGTCCATGAGCACAGGAAACCCGCAAGGTGAGAATGATACTGATTAGTAACAGCATGTTAGTTATTCCCAATGGTGTATCAATACAAATATTCCAGTTGTGCTCTTTGTGGTTTTAAATCTGTTCTGTTAGCAGTTACCAAGTGTGACCCTGAATTTAAGTGCACTACCATGAAGCTCGTCAATTGAGGTTACTTAGTAAATATCAAAGTTCAACGAAGTTTGCAAAGTCTCTCAATTCCTATTAGTGGTTTCACAATAATTTCTTGAATTCATTCCCTGATATGTACTTGTACAACTTTATTTAGGGACAGTAACAGGTTTGACCCAAAAGTGAGAAAACACTAAACTTTAAATAAACACCTATTGAAAATTGGTAAGGCTATTTCTCAACCAGATGAATCATATGCAGTGATATGCATATGCATAACTGAGTCTCTGTCATTGTATTTTTCTCTTGTCCTTTACTTACCCTCATTATGTAATTAATTAGGGGTCTATGAAAACCAGTGTGCATTTGGACCCTATTCCATTATCTATATTTTCTTATGCTTAGGGGAACACCACTTGACTTTTAAACTCACATTAGATTACACTACTGAGTACAAGAGTTTCAGCATCTTCTTGGCATTTAAATATCCTTTAACCAACATGCTTTGAGGTACCTTTTATTTTAGGGTACAATATATTCAGAGGCATGCAGGGATATCCCTTTTGTTTTAGGAACATAACTCAAATGCCCTCACAGCTGTCCTTTCACTGATTTATTAATTGCATTTGTTCTGATTTTTTAGATATACATGCATATTTACATATACATAGCTAATTATATTTACCATCTTCAAAGATACAATTACTTAATATAAGAGCATTGTTTTCAAGCAGATAATTAATATGGAAAATATAATATTACTATAAAGGAGGAGAAAATAAATCAGTCATCACTGTCATAGAGTTAACGCATTGAAATTTATTTATTTCCTTACTATAACTGCATGGTTTTAAATATTAAATAATTTAGTAATATATACAACTAATACTTCCAGAATACAAAAATAGCTTATATTAAAGTGAACCTCGGGGTATCTGGTGGCTCAGTCAGTTAAGCGTCTGACTCTTGGTTTCAGCTCAGGTCATGATCTTACCGTTCGTGAGTTTGATCCCCACATCGGGCTCCATGCTGACACTGTGGAGCCTGCTTGGAATTTTGTCTCCCTCTCTCTTTCTGCCCCTCCCCTGCTCACTCTCTGTCTCTCTCTCAAAAATAAACAAATAAACTTAAAAAATAATAAAGTGAACCTCCTACAAATAACAGATATAAACTCGGCACAAATTACAAAAATGAACTGCTTGAGTGAGTTAATGCAAGCAGAAAATGAAAAGTGTCCAATCTTTGAAAAAATTGAATTAAACTCTGAGATCCATCTTTATGTATTTTATGAATTTAGAACACACCTACATCCACATGGTGCATGGATGATAGAACTCAGGCAGAAAGCAGGAGTCTCACCCGTGGGACAATTTAGGGATCTGAGCATGGGCCTGGAAGAACCTCTGCCAGGTGAGAAGAGAAATGTATGGAGCTTCATCAGGGAAACCCCCCAATAATCTCCACATGTCCCCTTAAATTATTCCCTAATCAATATGAGCCTGTATGGGGCAAAACCCCAAGCAGCCCAGTGGGAAGAAACTACTGACTGCAAGGCTGAAAACTTTGAACACTTCAGGTAGTAATCAGTGTAGAAGAGAACGGGTTTGGAGTTCAAGGCCAGCATAGCTTATTAAAGTTGTCACATTTTACTTGAACCAGACAGATATGTCTTAGGAGTAAATACCATGTCCCAGGAGTTGACTAAGGGCTATATTCTTGTATTAAGGCAACACTGAAATAGATCAACTCTAAAAAAACCCTTAAAACTAAGACCTCACAGGATTACAGTATGCCACCAGGAACATAACTTCTGTCTTGTATTCCTTTATAAGACAGTCAGCCAGATATGATGGCCGTAAGAAGAGACAGAGGATAGATTTAGGAAAAAATAAAGTTTATTATACTCACAAGTCCTAGAGGCAGAGTCAGAAGATAGGGATGAGGGGAAGGTTTGGGGGCCAGAAGAGGTACGGCTCTGGATTGGTTAGTTTGTAGATCAAAGACAGTCTCCTGTCTGGGCTCTTTGAGATCTCTAAGATTTAGTAGTCTCTCTTCAGTCAGAGGTTTTGTAAGATATCAAACCATCATAATATACAGAAGACGAAAAAATTTACAATAGAACTTCTACTAGAAGAAAAATCTATGTTATTCAGAGGTAAACACCAGAATCCATAAATCTCTACAATGTTTTCTGGTGATGTTCATTGTACAATAAAAACTTACTGGACATGCAGAGAAGCAGAAAATATGAACCATAGTCAGAGGAAAAGAGCTACCAAAAGAAACAGACCTAAACACAAACAGTATGCTAGAATAAATAAGATAAACATAACTTTTCAATGACTATGAAATAGAAGTTAAAGAATTTACAGGAAAACATATATAATTGTTTAAGAGATGTTGACTTTCAGAATAGAGGCAGACAGTGTCTAAGTACCAAATATGAATCCTAGCATTAATGCTAGATATAATCTTCATAAAAACTGTAGAAAAATAATAACAATGAGAAATGTAAAAGAAGAAATAAATGGACTTGAAAGTAGGTTAATAAAAGTTATCTGAAATAAATATCTTAAAAATAAAAATGAGAATCAAAAATTAAAGACTCAGTGATCTGTGGGGCAGTATCATGTGATCAAACAAGAAGAGAGAAAGTTCAGGGCAGAAGACCAATTTGAAAAATTATGGATAGCAATCTTCTAAATGTTATTAAAGACATGAAGCCATGGAACCAAGAAGCTCAGCTAACATCAAGAACGACAAATACACAGAAAACCATAATTAAAAAAACAACAAAACTGTTAAAAATCAACATTAAAAAGAAAGCTTTGAAAGCACCTAGAAAAAAAATGGAGAAAGAACATACATCATACATAGACAATGCCAATCCAGAGATGAGCTAATACCGTCAGCAGACTTCTCATCGAAAACTAAGGGCTGGAAAACTAAAGAATTACATCTTTAAAGTATTAAACACACAAAATAATAAGGTGTTAAACATACCACGTACATGCACGCACACACACTGTCAAGTAAGAATACAATACCCATCAAAAAGATTCTTCAAAACCAAAAGTGAAATAAACACATTTCCAGATTATTTCAGAGAATTTGTTACAAATGATCCACGCTACAAGTAAGATGAAAAGAAATTATTCCAGAGAAATAAAACTGATACTAGCTGGATATGTGGATCCCAGAAAAGAGCCTAGACCCTGAAAGTGATCATGCTAAGGATGCCACTTGATTTGATGCAATATGAAGTAACAAGTTATCACCTTAAAATATTTTTACCTTAATTATGTATATCCTTATTTTCATCTTAAAGTTTTCATATTTTTAGATACTTAAAATGTTTATAGTCGGGGCGCCTGGGTGGCGCAGTCAGTTAAGCGTCCGACTTCAGCCAGGTCACGATCTCGCGGTCCGTGAGTTCGAGCCCCGCGTCGGGCTCTGGGCTGATGGCTCAGAGCCTGGAGCCTGTTTCCGATTCTGTGTCTCCCTCTCTCTCTGCCCCTCGCCCGTTCATGCTCTGTCTCTCTCTGTCCCAAAAATAAATAAACGGTGAAAAAAAAATTTAAAAAAAATTTTAAAAAAAGTTTATAGTCAACTGATTTTAACTAATTACATTGTTTGAAATGCATGAACATAAAAATCACATTGCAGACCCTTGTCTTTGAATGTTCCCAAAACCCTCTATACCAGCAGAATCGTGAAAATGTTTTTAGATTTTAAGATCATTACCAAAAAGGTCTTCATCGTTTTCAACATGTGTTATCTTAGTTTTTAATATATCTTTATTCTAAAATAATATATTCTTGTGATCCAAAGGTGATATATGCTAAAGGCAGAAAAAATGGAGAATACTGTTAAGTATTAAGCAGTTAAATACAAACTCTGACCATTAGTATTTCTAACTATAGTTATTGTAAATATTCAATCATACTTCTGCTGACCTTTGTCTTATAAACATTTATCCAATGTTCAAAGCATAGCGTACGTATGTGTGTAAGTTTATACTTGATATTGGATTTTTTGTCACTTTTCATGTCCTGTAGTGATAGTTATGTACCCAATTATGATTGGTTTTAATCTTTATGTGTGCTAGATTGTCATCTTGTTAAGAGATTATGCATTTCATCATTTTTTGTGTATAGATATCTATAGACAAATAAGCAAAAGTTAGATGATAGCTACTTACATCTTATTGCTAACACAGGAATGACATAATTAGGTTTTTATGTGTTTTTGAAGTGATATTATTTTGCAAAGGGAGAAAAGCATTTTCTCCCATTTTCTCTGAAACAAGAGTCTCAGGAAGCCTCAGAAGTTATAGAGGGAGCTTTGAGAAAGTTAGGAGAAAGATGGATAGAAGCAGGCACTGAAGTGATTGAACCTAATTTCTCACCGTAGATATTTTATGAATAGGACACATAGTATTTTGGTTTGCCAAGTTTTAATGTGGTGCTTTTAAGAAGTGATTCATTTGTCTCTTAGATTATAATTATACTATCTATATATTTTAAACACATATTCTGATTTATGATTAAAAATGAGTTAATACTTGAAAAAATAAACTGAGAATTGATTAATCATGAAAAATGCTGAATAAATGTACCTATTTTAATTTTAGGACTGCATTTTAACCACTGTTTAAAAATTTTTTTTTTTTTTAACTTTTATTCATTCTTGAGACAGAGAGAGACAGAGCATGAATGGGCGAGGGGCAGAGAGAGAGAGAGACACAGAATCGGAAGCAGGCTCCAGGCTCTGAGCCATCAGCCCAGAGCCCGATGCGGGGCTCGAACTCACGGGCCGCGAGATCGTGACCTGAGCCGAAGTCGGACGCTCAACCAACTGAGCCACCCAGGCGCCCCTAACCACTGTTTTATACACAAACACGATAC